CCCCCAATCCCCCCTACCGGGGGTTCGTGGATTGTGTCCCAGGATCCGTTATCCCGGCGATTACCGTTGGCCCCCTTTTGGCCATAGCCCCTTGACATAGGGGTAGCCCCTCTTCCGCCCCCTGTTGACCCAATAGTAATGCTACCCGCTGACAACATGGGGAATGCGGAATAAGACCTCTACACTTACAAACAAAAGCTGTGTAGGCATGCGGTGGCTGTGCATGCGGGCTACAAGACCCAGCCAACGCAGCCTTGCCTGCTGGAGGAGCTCGCCGATGGGACTTTGTCCAGATCACGCTATTTTATCACACAAACACTCGCTGCCAGCGGGAAGCTGGGACTCATTTAATCTTGTGGAGGATCGCTCCACTGAACATAACAGCTGTGCGGTTCATTTGGCAAGCGCGAGTTCGCGTTCACAAGTGGGATGGTTAAATATCTCGCGGAAGCTCGTGTTCGTAAGTCGGGTGCTCGTAGTGCGGGTGTTCGTTGTGTGGGTGTTCGTAAGTGCGGGTGTTCGTAAGTGCGGGTGTTCGTTGTGTGGGTGTTCGTAAGTGCGGGTGTTCGTAAGTGCGAGTGTTCGTAGTGCGGGTGTTCGTAGTGCGGGTGTTCGTAGTGTGGGTGTTCGTAAGTGCGGGTGTTCGTAAGTGCGGGTGCTGTAAGCCAAGGACTGCCTGTTTCAAAATACTAAAACCAGTCTGCACTGAGCAGCAGCAGCAGTACCGTGCCACCCCCAGGGTGTAATTACTTGCTTGCAGCGCGGGACAACAGTGTAGTCCAAAAAAACGAAACTTCTGTCCGATTCATATTCTTGGTTCTTTCGGTAAAGTCACGGAGAAGGGAAACAAGAAAATAATAAAACAATAAAATTCTCACGACGTTTCGACTGCAACACAAGCAATCATCATCAGGTGTGAAAACCACAGCAAGAAAGTTTGAAAAAAGTGGCGTTGTTTTTAACGTCAGCACCACGGAGAGCGATTTGGCAGTTAATCAGATGAACGAGTCCATCTATGTTCGGAAAAGAGGAGGGGGAAGCCGAAACAATAATGGATGCGGTCTGAAAGCCACCGTAAGCGTGAACAATTAATTAAGACCCGAAATGGTTTATCAAATCCTTCCAATGATTGCTAAACCAGAATCCATCTTCTCGGTTGAAATTGTCTCTGTGTTTGTATATGTAGATAGCTTCATGGTAGCCAGATGTCTTGCAGAGAACCTCTGTCTTGGAGAAGTCAATGTCATGTGAGCCCACTGAATTATAACAGTGATCTGCCACGGCCGAGGTGTTGGTCCTACCGTTGTTTAGGTCTGCTTTGTGTTCACGAATGCGGTCCGAGACATGTCGTTTGGTTTCTCCAATGTATCTACTATGACAGAGGCAACTTAGTTTGTAGACGCCAGGGTACCGTATGTCCGGAATCACATCTTTTACAGACGGAACCAGATCACGGATTTTATGTAATGTGTTGAATCGGATCTGGATCTTGTGTTTAATCAAGATTTTGGAGATATTTTTGTGATCCCTGCAGTGTAGGGTAAAGTGATGGTTTTGAAAGGCTCCTCAAGGGGCTCCTTCTTCACGGTTGGAGTGATAGCTTCGCGGATTGTTTAGTCGGAGTAACCATTAGCCTTAAGAGCTTGGTGTACGTGCTTGAGTTCACTGGCTATGTGTTCCTGGTCAGAGATGCATTTGGCTCTATGGTGCAGAGTCTTGATGAGGGAATTCTTCTCTGCACCATAGAGCCTAATGCATCTCCGACCAGGAACACATTGACAGTGAACTCAAGCTGTCATTGCGAGGACGGATGGCCGTGGTCTCGTGGCCACCCCTCGTTGCGTGTAGGCGGTGTGGGCATCTGTGACGTGGGCTGAGCTACACGCCCATTAGCAACCCCCCCCCACCCCTGCACCAGCACAAGCTCAGCGCCGCTTGGCCCAGCGTCCCCAGCAAGGCCATCGTGATCCGAACACGGCCACCGTGAAGACCCCTCCCCCCACCCCGCGCCTGATCCCACGGCTTGAAGTCAGCGTTGCCGACTCCCCGTGCCTGACGTGGCCACCGTGAAGCCGCGAGAGGCAGAGGCGGAGAGACAGAAGCACCCAGTGGGGGGCCTGAACAGTGCCGGGTGATCCTCGCAGCAAAAGCAGCAAATGCCACGGGGCCCACACTTTCAAGGGGCCCGTGCTAAATACTTTCAAGCTGTCAATTCCGGTTCAGTGATTCTGCACGTGCTCTGTTACTATAGTACTACACTGCCTTCAACTTTTACGAACGACCGGGTGTTTAAGGTGAGCGATTTGTCGTATTATCTGGCTGTATAGCAAATGAAAAAATGCAATTACTTTACTAAGCAAGTGAAACATTTGTGTTTTAATTGATTTGTTATTTTATTTAGGGCTCCCTTTATAACAACAAATGCTCCTCCAGGCCCCGCACGAGCTTCATGCGGCGCTGCCTTTCCCGGCGACTGACGAGGCCGCGGTGGCCCCTTTGTCGCCGTGTCCCTCGTGGGGTGCGGCTCACCCACCCAGCACCGCCACGGCCGCGTGGACGCAGCACGCGAGACGCGCCGTGCCACTGCGCTCGCATTGAGCGCGAGGAGACAACAACTGCTGCGGGTTTTACAGCAAGCGACGTTTATTAGGCGACACGTGACAATGTTTGACGTAGATAAATATATTGCATTCGTTAACCATTTTAAGACGTTAACACCGCCTGGCCTCATTTGAAAAAAAAAATACATAAATGGGATTTTAAAAATCTCTAAAGATTAGCTAGTATCCAAAACAATGCGTGTGCTCTTTGAATATAAAATTCCCTGAGGTTTGTTGCTCAAGGCAATCCAGTTGGTACAACACTTTAGCAGTTCCAAGGCACAGACGGTTGACAACAGTTTATGATCAGTAGCAGCATCGTAGAAATCAGTAAACGGCTCCACACACTCACGGGGGGTTGAATCGTCAATGTCATCCAAAAAAATATTATTTGGGAAATCGCTCGTGTATTCTATTACACTGCTAACAGCTGCAGTGCAAACGTTACAACATTAGAATACACGGATGGTAAGGTAATCGTAGCTTATATCCAAGGCAGTTTAGACGTGCTACAATGAGGTTAGCTAAAGGTGATTTTGGTGGCGTTTGAGAGGAGGGGAAAGAGGGGAAGGGGACAGGGATGGGTACGGGGAGGGAGGTTGGATGGATGAGGGATGGTTGGGGGCCAGGGGGAAGAGGTGGGGGTCTTGAGGGAGGAGTGGGAACGGGGAGAGGTGGGGAACGGTGCCGAGTACTGGGAGTGAAAAAAACCGTCTCAATCCATCAGTCGATGCATCTAAACTTGATCAGCACACATGTAAAGTACCCTACACACGTCATTGATCGGTGCCATCACTCATCACCATCATAGCTATGGCCACCGGATGGACCACGGGATTGTAGAACTAGCGGCAGCATTGCGTAATAAATACTGGACCCTGCCACAGGAAATGTAATCGCACTTGCCAGCTCACAACAACACAGGGGGTCGGGGGTCGGCATGGAGGGGTCGGCATTTTCAGCGGCAGACACTCGGTCTGGCTCGCTGTGGGTTCAACCCAAGCGGCAGAGCCGACCCGTTTTTCAGAGGAACGTGTCTCTGTGCACATCGCTAAAGTGGTTAGGTTGATCACGCGTCTCAAAATAAGTCACTGCTTGCTGCTGTTGCTGCCCGTGAGGGTGTTCAAGTAAACTGCAGATTGTAAATATCAAACTATTTTGATCTCATGTACTTTGATCAGATTGACAGCGATTACCAAAACAACTTCACAACTGCCATAGTGCTAGCCCTGCCCTCATGCCGACGTTTTGGGCACGAGATTGAGGCAGAAGACGCAACAAAACTGCGAGTAACAAAACAACTCGGGACTTGGTAGTGTTGACGATGGGGAGCCCGTGGTCTTCATGCCTGGGCGATGGTGCCGCTCATTCCACGTCTCTGTTGGAAGGTCCCGCCAGCTGTCCTCTCTCAGCTGCGCTCTCTCCTGAGACTACGGATGGAGTGCCACTGGAACACAAAAAACAAAAGCATCCGTGAGCGAACCACCCGGTAACACGACCCGCCATTCGACTAAAGCCCCATGTGAAACCCCGGGGGTTCAATAACCTCTGTAACGACTAAACCTCATCGCCTAATACAATCAATATTCACTAAGACAAAAAACTACGATGGTAACGCACAGACTCAAAATATATAACAGGAGGCATCGTGGGGGTCGGGATGGAACCCACGACATCCTTTGTACCAGGCCAAGTAGTTAACATCTCAAAGCCACGGCGTTGTATCTTGCCGACTCGCCCCCTACTGGACATCTGTGAAAAAAAGCTTCACAGCTCATCGGATTCCTCTGGCCTGAATACAGCTTCAGATTCTGTTGTGACTAACACAGCCGTTGATAAAAAACATCGTACGAGTCAGCCAGGAGCTCGGTGCTGGCTCAGCGTCCCCGGCACGGCCGCTGTGAACCGCTCAGGAAGAGACCCAGCGGTGCGTGAACGTGAAACCTCGTCAGTGACACCGAGTGGGAGGCCACCGAGAGAGCTCAGCTCGGCTGCCCATGTCCACGCTCATTCATCAGGGGCTGGGCTGGGCGGTCCGGGTGCCTGGGATGGAGGGGGGGCGGGGGGGGGCACCTGCGTGAGTGGAGGCAGGGCCATGAAGACCGACGGTGATTCTTCTTCCAGACGAAGATGGAGACGATGATGATGATGACAATGACAGCTAGAGGCACCAGGACCCAGGCAGCCACCACCCCTCCCTTGTGCGAGGTCTCCTCTAGAGGGGCGAGGGTGACGTCACTCACGCCCCCACCGTGTGACCGTGGGGCTGCAGAGACACGGAGACAGAGAGGGGGGGGCTCAGCGTGACCCCCACTCGCACCCAGCACCACAGCCCCACCCAGCGACTCAACACGGCTTTACGTGCAGCAGTGAGAGACCACTCACTCAACACGGCTTCACGTGCAGCAGGGAGAGACCACTCACTCAACACGGCTTCACGTGCAGCAGGGAGAGACCACTCACTCAACACGGCTTCACGTGCAGCAGGGAGAGACCACTCACTCAACACGGCTTCACGTGCAGCAGGGAGAGACCACTCACTCAACACGGCTTCACGTGCAGCAGGGAGAGACCACTCACTCAACACGGCTTCACGTGCAGCAGGGAGAGACCACTCACTCAACACGGCTTCACGTGCAGCAGGGACAGACCACTCACTCAACACGGCTTCACGTGCCACACTCAAAGGCACAATCCACGTGCATCACAGATTCCTGGCTGAGAATCACTCAGCTCTACAAATGCCCACTCCAGCCCTGCACCAGTTTTTCCATGACCCTTGACCTCCCGGCCTCAACCAGTTAGATCTCGTGCACCGTTCAACGCAAGTTCCCCCATAATCGCTTCATCCGTTTGAACAACGTCGTGACGAACGGTGATCATTTTATTTTATATATTTTATTATGTGACAAATTATGAAACGAGAAACTAAATCAAAGTTTTGATTTAAAGCTTTCGTGACTGCAGTAATTCATATTCTTAGTTTTTTCGGTAAAGTCACGTTGAAGAGAAACAACAAAATAACAAAATATATATAAAACAATAAAAAATTCTCACGACGTTTCGACCATAACTCAAACGGTCGAAACGTCGTGAGAATTTTTATTGTTTTATATATATTTTGTTATTTTGTTGTTTCTCTTCAACGTGACTTTACCGAAAAAACTAAGAAACTAAATCAAAGTTGTAAAACGAACGTGCATTATCCATTAAACGAGTGCTTTGCCGATTGTTAAGGAGTACAAATTAAACGACATCCTCATCGTGCGTGCATTATTCACAACGTAACTGACAAAGTGCCGGTGCATGATGAGTGAACTCTGGTCGAGAACGCTTGAGCAGTCCTCGTCTTTATGCGTGCGAAAAGTCAAGCAAAGCAAATCACCAGCATAATGAATGTGAACAAGCAAATACGAGATAATCATGTTGCCAAAGTCAACTTGTTATCTAGTTGTGAAGAGTTTCATAGCGACATTGCTGGCTGCATCAGCTACAGCACCACGCTCGGCTCTTGTTCACCTGCAGGCATCACGTTCAGCAGCACCTCCCCTTGCACCACGGTGTTCTCCGCGTTACATCGGCGACAGTCGATGCGGCACAGAGCCACGGGGCCGAGGTTCTTGGGGAAGTTGGGGATGCCGATGGAGCAGTCTCCCGTCCGCACGTCTCCCACAGACTTCACGATACTCAAGTCCTCTTTTTCATCCCGCGTTTGATAGATCTGCAATGACACAAACCACAATGTGGAAGGTCAACCACAATGGCACACGATGCCCATGGTCACATCGTCCTGAATACCCCTGGGCTCGTTGAATGTCGCTGGCTAAGCAGGCTTGATGAGCTCGGTTACCACCTAGATGGGAGACCTCCTGGGGACACCAAGCGCTGTAGGCTTCGGTTGCAAGGCGACAAGGGGATGGCAAAATATCAACGTTGAGTTTGCGTAGAGTGGTAAGAGTGGGTCTACCTGTGGACTTGAATCTGTGTAGAGTATTGCGTGTAATCCCCCTCGTGTTAAACACGAGTTGCATCACGTGCTCTGGTTTCCCTCCACATGAAGCCAAACTCTCATTAATGTACCGTCATTGGGCAAAGATCTCAGAGCAGTGCCTTCTTGAAATGGAGTTGTGAGACTAATTGGACATTTCTGAGTAATTAAAGGGCACCACATAATGTTATTATCTGTTACGTGTCGACGTAGATATCAAGTACAGAGATAATTATTCACGGTTGACATGAAATGCGGCCGTCACCTTCTTCATCTCTCTTCTGGTCATGTTCTCTGCGTAGTGTCTGGGCATCGTGAACCACAGGAGGATGATGTGGTCCAGGCTGGACGTCGATGGGGAGAAGGAGCAGGGAATAGTCACATTCTCTCCCTCCCTCACAGACAAACTCGTCGGAAGAGTGATCTGGAGCTTCGCAGCCGATGCCGCATCTACAGGGAGACCGGTCACACTCGTTACACATATACAGTGAGGGAAAAAAGTATTTGATCCCCTGCTGATTTTGTACGTTTGCCCACTGACAAAGAAATGATCAGTCTATAATTTTAATGGTAGGTTTATTTGAACAGTGAGAGACAGAATAACAACAAAAACATCCAGAAAAACGCATGTCAAAAATGCTATTTAATTGATTTGCATTTTAATGAGGGAAATAAGTAATTGACCCCTCTCAGTCAGAAAGATTTCTGGCTCCCAGGTGTATTTTATACATATAACGAGCTGAGATTAGGAACACACTCTTAAAGAGAGTGCTCCTAATCTCAGCTTGTTACCTGTATAAAAGACACCTGTCCACAGAAGCACTCAATCAATCAGATTCCAAACTCTCCACCATGGCCAAGACCAAAGAGCTCTCCAAGGATGTCAGGGACAAGATTGTAGACCTACACAAGGCTGGAATGGGCTGCAAAACCATTGCCAAGCAGCTTGGTGAGAAGGTGACAACAGTTGGTGCGGTTATTCGCAAATGGAAGAAACACAAAAGAACTGTCAATCTCCCTTGGCCTGGGACTCCATGCAAGATCTCACCTCGTGGAGTTGCATTGATCATGAGAACGGTGAGGAATCAGCCCAGAACTACACGGGAGGATCTTGTCAATGATCTCAAGGCAGCTGGGACCATAGTCAACTCGCCGTGTTTGGAGGAGGAGGAATGCTGCCTATGACCCCAAGAACACCATCCCCACCGTCAAACATGGAGGTGGACACATTATGCTTTGGGAGTGTTTTTCTGCTAAGGGGACAGGACAACTTCACCGCATCAAAGGGACGATGGACGGGGCCATGTACCGTCAAATCTTGGGTGAGAACCTCCTTCCCTCAGCCAGGGCATTGAAAATGGGTCGTGGATGGGTATTCCAGCATGACAATGACCCAAAACACACGGTCATGGCAACAAAGGAGTGGCTCAAGAAGAAGCACATTAAGGTCCTGGAGTGGCCTAGCCAGTCTCCAGACCTTAATCCCATAGAAAATCTGTGGAGGGAGCTGAATGTTCGAGTTGCCAAACGTCAGCCTCGAAACCTTAATGACTTGGAGAAGATCTGCAAAGAGTGGGACAAAATCCCTCCTGAGATGTGTGCAAACCTGGTGGCCAACTACAAGAAACGTCTGACCTCTGTGATTGTCAACAAGGGTTTTGCCACCAAGTACTAAGTCATGTTTTGCAGAGGGGTCAAATACTTATTTCCCTCATTAAAATTCAAATCAATTTATAACATTTTTGACATGCGTTTTTCTGGATTTTTTGTTGTTATTCTGTCTCTCACTGTTCAAATAAACCTACCATTAAAATTATAGACTGATCATTTCTTTGTCAGTGGGCAAACGTATAAAATCAGCAGGGGATCAAATACTTTTTCCCTCACTGTACCTACAGAGATGTACGTATATTGAACATCGTTCAAAGCGTGCGTAGCCAACCATCCTAATCGGAGGTGTGGGGGAAGGAAAACCATCTAAACACGAAAAGCTTACACTCATTACACCACTCTGGTAGAAGGGCCACTGAAAGGTCTTGAAAACGCCGTTAAACACAGGGGTGCTACACCGTCTACATTTGTAATTGTGGAGAAGAGATCAATAAAACTACGACCTCAATGGAAGCTACGACACGGTGAGCTCCGCATAGCATCAGCTGTCGGAGAGGAACTCCGCTCACCTGGTGAGTGAGCGCAGTGAAACGTCTCCCCCTCGACCAAATCTTAGGGCTGCCTCCCCCCCACCGTCAGTGCCCAGACTCAGAGCGGCCGCTCGCGAGCCGAGTCTCAGCGGAGCACGTGGCCCGGGAGCCACTGGCACGGCCAGGGCGGTGTCACAGGGGTCACATGACCCGTGACCTCATCGTCACGGTGGTTTATTAAAAACTAAAAAACTATTCTAATTAGCAGGTAAGGCCCACTGAGCTATGTAGCTCTTTTTTTTACAAAAGTGACATGGCCACCAATGACCGCTCAACGAAGTGGCTTGTGTCGTGCTGAAATTTACAGCAGCAAAATAATCGGAATGCACGTTGACTCGAAATGTGGAGGATAAAACCAGAGGACCCGGAGACAAATCCACGTGACCACAGGCAGAGAGACACGCAAACTCCAAATATACAGCAGGCGTCAGGGTCGGAATTGAACCCACAACCTCCTGCGTTCCAGGCGAGGGAGGTAACAGTGAACTCTCACCTGGCTAACGAAAGGGCACCGTCCAATGTGTGCTGGGTGAGTGGCTCTGGGTGTGAACTCACCCAGAAGGGAGATGAACAGTGGGATGAGGACCAGCTTCATGGTCGGCTCTGTGTGCTGATGATCACAAACGAGAATGAGTCATTAGTCCATCTCACGGCCTCACTCCAATGGTTCACGCTCCCTCACTTTCACATCACTCCGCTTCTACATCTTTTCATTTGTGATGTCAGCGATGAGATTCATCTCTTGGATTTGTTTTTCCCATCTACAATAATATGAATTATTACTGTAATCGTGCTGCATGGGCACTAGTTTACAAGTGAAATAAAAGATGTTCTGCGTATGCCAAGGCACAGCCATCCTGTACCCGAATCACACCCTGAGCCCTGCTACCTGAACTTGACGCTGCAGTCGAATCCTGCACTCACAGGCGCGACAAAGCATCTTGTTCGTATGGATGTTGAACTTCTTCCACACCGTACAGAGCTAACCGTAGCTAAGCGGCGTTGATGTTGTGTAGGCTGGCAAACTTTCAAAGAAGAACAAGGAGCAGACAATTATTTTCGTTTTTTTTTTCTTGACACATCTCACACACAGGGATATTTGTAGACAAAGATCTCCCGTACAGCCTGAGCAGACTGTTGGGGCAAGTGAAGGCCGGAACGGCACACGAGGGGGTGGGTGGCCGGTACAAAGTCCGGTCGCCTTTGTCTCCCCAGTGGTGATGTTTACTACACTACACCGCTACAACAGGTACTCATTTGAGGCTGAGTCGACCTGGGGGAGGCCCAGGACCGGTCCAGATAATCGTCACTGGTGTTGGCCGTCAGCAGGAATCGAAACCAGATCGCCGGGTTCGTAGCGCAGCGCGCTAACCGCTACACTACCGCTCTCCCCTACCCACACACCTACACACCCACGACATCTCCACACACCTACACACCTACACCCACACACATCTACACCCACGCACATCTACACACCCACACACACCTACACACCCACACCTACACACACATCCACACACATTTACACACACAAAGATCCCCTGTACAGCTTTAACAGACTGTCGGGGCAAGTGCTGTTAGCGAGCTGCACCTATGAAGGCCGGCAATGTGGAGCACGAGTTCGATTCCGGTTCACCGCCAATAACAGTGGCGAATATTTGAACCGGTCCTCGGCATCCCCTAGGTCGACTCAGCCTCAAATGAGTACCAAGTGGCGATGTGTAAAGAGTGCCACTGGGGGAGACAAAGGCGGCCGGGCGTGGTGCTGGCCACCCCACCCCCTCGTATCGGAAGTTTCCACTTCTCAACCATCTGTGGGCCTCTACCAACTCACGCCTAAGGAAGGGGGTGTTCCCGTTTAGACCGCAGCGACCACCCCTACACGGGACTCAGTGGAGTTTATACCAACTGGTTCCCGCATCTTTTAATTGTAAACAAAAACAACTTGCTATGGTGTTGACAGTGCAGTGCCGCGTGTACATTGCCGTGCCATTGCGATATTCGAAAGTGTAGTCAACAGTACACGATAGTATAAAGTCAACGTACGTCAGTTTAACACCACACTTTCGCGAGCAATATCATCCGTATTGTAGGTTTTTTTTGGGAGGGTTAGATCGCGTAAATATAAATGTGTCGTTAAACCCGCCACCACCCGACAGTAGGATAGCACACACCCGTGTTGGAGAGCAAATTCAGATTGTAAATGTTGTGGATTTGCACCCCAACCTGTACTCGTAACTCATTGGCACATTCTGCTTACGTGACACAAAGCTTACCAATTGTCTGTCGGGTGGCGGCGGGTTTGACGACACATTCATATTTACGCGCTCTAACCGCACACGCAAAAACCTCAATCCTAGAGTACTACAGATCTACACGGGACGTGGTGGCATCACGTGGTCGCCATTCCCCCCCCGCCCTGCGTGAGAATGGACGCGTCCGGCTGCAGGAGAGTACGCCATCTTTAAATGGTCACGGCGGAGTCGTTCCCCGCTGCGCTGAGCGTTGTCGTCTGCGTGAAACCTCCCGCACGGGTCCCGCCTCGAGCCGTGCCAACAGCGGTGACTTTGCGTTGGTCACCACTCACTGGGGGGGTGGGGGGGGGTGATTTGTGTAGCCGCGTGCGACTCGGAGGTGGAGGCGAGTGAGCGAGTGACTGAGCTCAATCACGACCGCTCTTGATTCGACCTCTTTACAAGGAATCCTGCTTCGCGTTGTCACCATCACCACCATCATCACCACCATCACCACCACCATCATCACCGTGATCATCAACAACCACCACCACCATCATCACCATCGCCAGCCACCACCAACAACCGCCATTCGCCACTAAGTGGTGGTGACGTCACCACGACGCTTGTGCCAGGCCATGTGCACCTTGAGGCCACGTGAAGTGTCGAACGCCCGCTGGCAGATCACGGGGCAGACCCAGGTGCCACGGGTCGACTGACTGAGATGACTGGCTGATGCACCACCTGTGCCCCCTACTGTGCCAACTTGCTGTGCTTTAGCCACCCGGCGCTCCGCTCGTTGTTGTGAGCATCGCTCCTCCGCCCTCCGTTGTTGTTGGAGGGCGACTGCCTCCAACTGCCCAGTAGCATCCTTCACGAGCCTCCTCCACAGAGGCCGATCTTGACACCGCTGGTACCAGTCATCGGCAAGTCCACTCAGCTCCACGTCCTCCTGTACCACATCACTCCATCTCTTCTCTAGCCCGTGCCGCGCCCGTTTAGCCCCCTCGATCCGGCTGAACAAAAGCTGTTTGGGCATGCGGTGATTGGGCATGCGGTGATTGGGCATGCGGTGATTGGGCATGCGGTGATTGGGCATGCGGTGATTGGGCATGCGGTGATTGGGCATGCGGGCTACATGACCCAGCCAACGCAGCCTTGCCTGCCGTCACCACCATCACCACCACCACCATCATCACCAACCACCACCGTCGTCGTCGTCGTCCGCTGCCACAACTACCACCACAACTACCGCCTCGGCACACTGCCGGGTGTGCAAGCGCTGTCAGCGAGCGCCTATTAAAGGCCGAACGGCACCCGAGTGGAGGGCGCCCGTTCCGACGTTTTGAGTCACCCCTCCCCAGTGGCGATGATTTCCCCGACTCCTTTGAGGCCGAGTCGACTTAGGGGAGGCCCAGGACCGGGTTCAGACGTTCGTCACCGATGTTGGTGGCCGCGAGCAGCAGCCGAGCTCGGGTCGCCGCTCACCCACGACCGACATCACCAACGCGCTCACCGCCATGAGCCCCGGGCTGGGGTTGAGTTCTCACTGGGAGCCGCTGGGGGAGGAGGAGTGAACTCCGCTCTCGTCTCAGCCCCTGCCGCAGGGCAGCGCCTCGCTCTCAGCCCCCCCCCCCCTCCCCTTAACACGACCTTCATGTTCACCACAAGTACGTGTGGTTAATGCAGACATGATTCATTGCAAATTGTTTTATTCTATTTGGTGTTCGAACATCTTAACACAATCTTGATTTGAAGCTTTTGTGACTGCAGGGATCCATTCTCTTTGGTTCTTTCGGTAAAGTCACGTACGCTTGTGTTGCGCCCGAAACGTCGTGATTTTATACCTACGTGACTTTACCAAAAGAACAAAACAATATCTTAACACAACTCCCTGGTTTATTGCCAGAAAGGGTAAATACCTAATCTTATTTTTTCATTTTTTGCTTTTAACTGTCCACTAATCACGCCCGTGACACGAGCTGTAGGGGCGGACCTCTGTCCACTCAGCGGTGCTGTTCGTATTCAAATTCAGCACCACGAGTTGGGAGTCTCATCCCTGGGGTTCCCTGTTGTGGTGCCACATCTTTTACCACACTGCCCCTCAATTCCCCTGCACACGGGTTACTATCTTCACAAGGATTGTGTTTCACTACATGAGGACGAAATGAATCCCGCAACAGAATTAATGATAAATTGTGTTCAATAATTATCAAGCCACGACAGGGTGCTTCAAAAAAATGTTAATACTTTTAAGACTTTGCAACAATATCACCAGAAATGTACTTCCGCAGCATCGTGTGAAAATACGGTTTGCCTCATTGCCAGTAATACTCGGCGACCAACAATTTCACGTCCATCTCGGAAAGCAGGTCAGCCACCCAGGAACTCGACAAAATAACTTACCACAGGAGTCGGTATCCATGTCATTCCAGCTCTGCAATTCACATCGTGTAAATCCCTGGCCTCGTGTCCAAGTTTGCGGGAGAGAAGAGCAACTGCTCCCTTTGACTCTCTATGAATGCTCCATTAAGCTCTTCAACATCTCCAGGATCCTCGGCCCCATGTTTGCGTGCCATGTCTACTGTTCTAAATGTGGGACAGTTGACGAGTAGGGCGAAGGCGAGGTGAAGCTGAACGTGACGGCTGCAGGTGAATGAGTGGGGAGCGTCGCGCTCGCCACACGGTGGCGCTGTGACCCCTGACCTCCCACCCACCACCGTCGCTCGTGCAGACGGTGGAGGGTGGGAGGTCAAGGGTCAGATCACAGGGTGGAGGGTGCAGAGCTGGAGAGCGGTCGTTGTAGTCTCGGCAGAAAACTCTGATGGAAGCGAATCTGGTCAGTGTCCCTGCATTTAGTGTCTTCCTGCTGCAAGTGAAGCCGTGTTGAGCAAGTGGTCTCTCCCTGGTGCATATGAAGCAGAGCGGTCTCTCCCTGCTGCACGTGAAGCCGTTTTGAGTCGCTGGGTGGGGGTCTCGTTGAGCCCCCCCTCTCTCTAGGTTCTTGACACCGCCGTCCGTTTCTCTGCAGCTCCACAGAGGTGCAAGTGGCACGACTGTCGCTGTGGCGGTAGTGGTGGTCGTCGTGATCGTGGTCGCAGCGGCTGCCGCTGTTATCCAGAAACGCCGTTGTGTGCTTGTATGTCCATCACGGTGTGTCGATGTGGGCTTGTGTATGTGTGGCTATCGCTCAATGTATTCTCGGGGTTCGTTGTAAAGTTTCACGTCTTGGCATCTCTCAGTGTGCGTCTGTTTTCTACGCCTGTCATTGTCCCACTCTACGTGTCTACAACCCAGTTTGTGTAAGAGAGAGGAGAGAGGGGTGAGGGGGGTCACAGTGCTCCTACTGAGTGTTTGGTGCCATGGGCGACTCCACGCAGCTGGGAGATCGCCTCACGGATCCATTGCCCTTAGTGATTCAGACCGCGAGATGCAGAGGCGCTGCACGTTCCCGTGGCGGGGCCCAGCAAATTGAGAAGCTACGTTTTGTGAACAGTGACGGCACCATGACACGTGATGCTCACGGTCACGGCCACGCTGGTCCAGCCACTCGCTTTAAAGATCCGCGGAAGGCCGCGTGCGGTCTCTTCCACGTGGAACCTCGCCACAGCCAAGCGGAGGGTCGCCTCCTGCTCTCGGGAGCGGTGGGTTGAGCCGGTGCCGGAAATTCCACATTGCCCTGTCGGGGGCCAGACTCTCTCCTCTGTAGGGCCACCCCCAGTCCATTCGAACAAAGTGGTACCCAGTTTATCTGCCACGACTGAGATCTGTGCCACTTCGGGCTGTTTGTGGGGATCTCTGAGCACAATCTGGGAGGCTGCGTCCGAGTGGAACGTCCGCGGGTTTCTCAATACGATGGAGAATTCCTAAACCAGTGTGTGGTAGTGGTGTGTGGGTGGTGATGGTGTCGTTCACTGTAAAGGCAGTCGACTCTGCTCTTAACCACCATCCACACCACCACACAGCAACCACCACCACAGAAACCACCATCACCCACACCAACACATCACCATCCACACACCACCACCCCACCCCGTCAACCCATGGCACCTGCTGGGTCTGTCCCGTGCCCTGTCAGCAGCGAGCCGTCGACACTTCACGTGGTCGCCTCAAAGTGCAACTTGCGAATGGCGGCTTCTGTTTCTGGGAGGTAGTTGAGGGTGGTGGTGATGAGAGTGAGGGTAGCAAGGATGGTGGTGAGGGTAATGGTGATGAGTGTGTGGTGAGGGTGGTGATGTGAGGGTAGTGGTGATGAGAGTGGTGAGGGTGGTGGTGAGAGGGTGGTGAGTGTAGTGAGCGTGGTGGTGAGAGTGATGAGGGTGGTAGTGATGTGAGAGTGGTGGTGATGAGAATGGTGGGGGTGGTGGTGAGAGTGGGAGTAGTGAGGGTGATGAGAGGGTGGTGGTGAGAGTGAGGGTGGTGGTGAGTGTAGTGGTGAGTGTAGTGAGGGTGGTGGTGAGTGTAGTGAGTGTAGTGGTGAGGAAGCTGAGGCGAGCTCACAGACGCGACCACCTCACTCAGGTCAACGCCGTAAAGATGGCGCCCGTGAAGCTGGGCGCGTCCATTCTCATTGTGTGGGGGGGGCACAGGTGGGAGGCTGCGTCCGAGTGGAACTTCTTCGGGTTTCTCAATGCGATGGAGAATTCACTCACAGCCAATGGGTGGTGGTGTGTGGATGTGTGGGTGGTGGTGTGTGGATGTGTGGGTGGTGGTGGTGTGTGGATGGTGGTGTGTGGGTGGTGGTGTGTGGATGTGTGTGGTGGTGTGTGGATGGTAGTGGTGTGTGGATGTGTGGGTGGTGGTGTGTGGTGGTGTGTGTGTGGATGTGGGTGGATGTGTGGTGGTAGTGGTGTGAATGTGGGTGGATGTGTGGGTAGTGTGGATGTGTGGGTGGATGTGTGGTGGTAGTGCTGTGGATGTGTGTGTGGGTGGATGTGTGTATGGGTGGATGTGTGGGTGGTGGTGGTGTGTGGATGTGTGGGTGGTGTGTGAATGGGTGGATGTGTGGGTGGTGTGTGAATGTGTGGGTGGTGGTGTGTGGGTGGTGGTGTGTGAATGTGTGGGTGGAGGTGGTGTGTGGGTGGTGATGTGTGGATGTGTGTGGATGTGTGGGTGGTGGTGTGTGGATGTGTGGGTAGTGGTGGTGTGTGGGTGGTGTGTGGATGTGTGGGTGGTGGTGTGTGGATGTGTGGGTGGTGGTGTGTGGATGTGTGGGTGGTGGTGTGTGGGTGGTGGTGTGTGGATGTGTGGGTAGTGGTGGTGTGTGGATGTGTGGGTAGTGGTGGTGGTGTGGATGTGTGGGTGGATGTGTGGTGGTGTGGATGGGTGTGTGGTGTCGTTCACTGCAAAGTTAGTCGACTCCACCTCTTAACCACCATCCACACCACCACCGACACACAACAACCACCAACACACACAAACTACCACACCAACTACCACCACCCCACACGAACACCGTCAACCTATGGCACCTGCTGGGTCTGTCCCGTGACCTCCTGTCAGCAGAGAGCCGTCGACACTTCACGTCGCCCCAAAGTGCACCTAGCCTGGCACAGGCGCCTTGGTGACGTCACCACCACGTGCGACTGGCGGCTGCTGTTGCTGGGAGGTAGTTGAGGGTGGTGGTGATGATGGTGAGGGTGGTGGTGAGGGTGGTGGTGATGAGTGAGGACGGTGAGGGTGGTGGTGAGTGTAGTGAGCGTGGTGGTGAGAGTGATGAGGGTGGTGGTGATGGTGGTGAGGGTTGTGGTGAGGGTGGTGGTGATGAGAGTGAGGACGGTGAGGGTGGTGGTGAGTGTAGTGAGCGTGGTGGTGAGTGTAGTGGTGAGTGTAGTGAGTGTAGTGGTGAGTGTAGTGAGTGTAGTGGTGAGTGTAGTGAGGGTGGTGGTGAGTGTAGTGAGGGTGGTGGTGAGTGTAGTGAGGGTAGTGGTGAGTGTAGTGAGGGTAGTGGTGAGTGTAGTGGTGAGTGTAGTGAGGGTAGTGGTGAGTGTAGTGAGGATAGTGGTGAGTGTAGTGGTGAGTGTAGTGAGTGTAGTGGTGAGTGTAGTGAGGGTGGTGGTGAGTGTAGTGAGGGTGGTGGCGAGTGTAGTGAGGGTAGTGGTGAGTGTAGTGAGGGTGGTGGTGAGTGTAGTGAGGGTGGTGGTGAGTGTGGTGGTGAGTGTAGTGAGGGTGGTGGTGAGTGTAGTGAGTGTGGTGGTGAGTGTAGTGAGTGTGGTGGTGAGTGTAGTGAGTGTAGTGGTGAGTGTAGTGGTGAGTGTAGTGAGTGTGGTGGTGAGGAACCCGAGGCGAGCTCACAGACGCGACCACCTCACTCAGGTCAACGCCGTAAAGATGGCGCCCGTGAAGCTGGGCGCGTCCATTCTCATTGTGGGGGGGGGGGGGGCACAGGTGGGAGGCTGCGTCCGAGTGGAACTTCTTCGGGTTTCTCAATGCGATGGAGAATTCACTCACAGCCGATGGGTGGTGGTGGTGTGTGGATGTGTGGGTGGTGGTGGTGTGGGTGGTGGTGGTGTGTGGATGGTGGTGTGTGGATGTGTGAGTGGTGGTGGTGTGTGGATGTGTGGGTGGTGTGTGGATGTGTGGGTGGTGGTGGTGTGTGGATGTGTGTGCTTGTGTTGGGAGGTGGTGGTGTGTCTGTGTGGGTAGATGTGTGGGTGGTGGTGTGTGGATGTGTGGGTGGTGGTGTGTGGATGGGGTGTGGATGGGGTGTGGATGTGTGTGTGGATGTGTGTGTGTGGATATGTGGGTGGTGGTGTGTGGATGTGTGGGTGGTGGTGGTGTGTGGGTGGTGGTGTGTGGATGTGTGGGTGGTGGTGGTGTGTGGATGTGTGGGTGGATGTGTGGTGGTAGTGCTGTGGATGTGTGTGTCGGTGGATGTGTGGGTGGTGATGGTGGTGTGTGGATGTGTAGGTGGTGGTGGTGTGTGGATGTGTGGGTGGTGGTGGTGTGTGGATGTGTGGATGTGTGGGTGGTGTGTGGATATGTGGATGTTGGTGGTGTGTGGATGTGTGGGTGGTGGTGGTATGTGGATGGTGTGTGGATGTGTGTGTGTGTGGATATGTGGGTGGTGTGTGGATGTGTGTGTGGATGTGTGGGTGTTGGTGGTGTGTGGATGTGTGGGTGGTGGTGGTGTGTGGATGTGTGTGGGTGGTGTGTGGATGTGTGGATGTATGTGTGGGTGTTGGTGGTGTGTGGATGTGTGGGTGGTGGTGGTGTGTGGATGTGTGTGGGTGGTGTGTGGATGTGTGTGTGGATGTGTGGGTGGTGTGTGGATGTGTGTGTGGGTGGTGTGTGGATGTGTGTGTGGGTGGTGTGTGGATGTGTGTGTGGATGTGTGGGTGGTAGTGGTGTGTGGATGTGTGGGTGGTGGTGTGTGGATGTGTGGGTGGTGGTGGTGTGTGGATGTGTGGTGATGGTGGTGTGTGGATGTGTGTGTGAATGTGTGGGTGGTGGTGTGTAGATGTGTGTGTGGTAGTGGTGTGTGGATGTGTGTGTGTAGATGTGTGGATGTGTGTGTAGATGTGTGGATGTGTGGGTGGTGTGTGGATGTGTGGGTGGTAGTGGTGTGTGGATGTGTGGGTGGTGGTGGTGTGTGGGTGGTGGTGTGTGGATGTGTGGGTGGTGGTGGTGTGTGGATGTGTGGGTGGATGTGTGGTGGTAGTGCTGTGGATGTGTGAGTCGGTGGATGTGTGGGTGGTGATGGTGGTGTGTGGATGTGTAGGTGGTGGTGGTGTGTGGATGTGTGGGTGGATGTGTGGTGGTAGTGCTGTGGATGTGTGAGTCGGTGGATGTGTGGGTGGTGATGGTGGTGTGTGGATGTGTAGGTGGTGGTGGTGTGTGGATGTGTGGGTGGTGGTGGTGTGTGGATGTGTGGATGTGTGGGTGGTGTGTGGATGTGTGGATGTTGGTGGTGTGTGGATGTGTGGGTGGTGGTGGTATGTGGATGGTGTGTGGATGTGTGTGTGTGTGGATATGTGGGTGGTGTGTGGATGTGTGTGTGGATGTGTGGGTGTTGGTGGTGTGTGGATGTGTGGGTGGTGGTGGTGTGTGGATGTGTGTGGGTGGTGTGTGGATGTGTGGATGTGTGTGTGGATGTGTGGGTGTTGGTGGTGTGTGGATGTGTGGGTGGTGGTGGTGTGTGGATGTGTGTGGGTGGTGTGTGGATGTGTGTGTGGATGTGTGGGTGGTAGTGGTGTGTGGATGTGTGGGTGGTGGTGTGTGGATGTGTGGGTGGTGGTGGTGTGTGGATGTGTGGTGATGGTGGTGTGTGGATGTGTGTGTGAATGTGTGGGTGGTGGTGTGTAGATGTGTGTGTGGTAGTGGTGTGTGGATGTGTGTGTGTAGATGTGTGGATGTGTGTGTAGATGTGTGGATGTGTGGGTGGTGTGTGGATGTGTGGGTGGTAGTGGTGTGTGGATGTGTGGGTGGTGGTGGTGTGTGGGTGGTGGTGTGTGGATGTGTGGGTGGTGGTGGTGTGTGGATGTGTGGGTGGTGGTGGTGGTGTGTGGATGTGTGTGGGTGGTGTGTGGATGTGTGGATGTGTGGATGTGTGTGTGGATGTGTGGGTGTTGGTGGTGTGTGGATGTGTGGGTGGTGGTGGTGTGTGGATGTGTGTGGGTGGTGTGTGAATGTGTGTGTGGATGTGTGTGTGGGTGGTGTGTGGATATGTGTGTGGATGTGTGGGTGGTGTGTGGATGTGTGGGTGGTAGTGGTGTGTGGATGTGTGGGTGGTGGTGTGTGGATGTGTGGGTGGTAGTGGTGTGTGGATGTGTGGGTGTTGGTGGTGTGTGGATGTGTGGGTGGATGTGTGGTGGTAGTGCTGTGGATGTGTGTGTCGGTGGATGTGTGGGTGGTGATGGTGGTGTGTGGATGTGTAGGTGGTGGTGGTATGTGGATGGTGTGTGGATGTGTGTGTGTGTGGATATGTGGGTGGTGTGTGGATGTGTGTGTGGATGTGTGGGTGTTGGTGGTGTGTGGATGTGTGGGTGGTGGTGGTGTGTGGATGTGTGTGGGTGGTGTGTGGATGTGTGGATGTGTGTGTGGATGTGTGGGTGTTGGTGGTGTGTGGATGTGTGGGTGGTGGTGGTGTGTGGATGTGTGTGGGTGGTGTGTGGATGTGTGTGTGGATGTGTGGGTGGTGTGTGGATGTGTGTGTGGGTGGTGTGTGGATGTGTGTGTGGGTGGTGTGTGGATGTGTGTGGGTGGTGTGTGGATGTGTGGATGTGTGTGTGGATGTGTGGGTGTTGGTGGTGTGTGGATGTGTGGGTGGTGGTGTGTGGATGTGTGGGTGGTGGTGGTGTGTGGATGTGTGGTGATGGTGGTGTGTGGATGTGTGTGTGAATGTGTGGGTGGTGGTGTGTAGATGTGTGTGTGGTAGTGGTGTGTGGATGTATGTGTGTAGATGTGTGGATGTGTGTGTAGATGTGTGGATGTGTGGGTGGTGTGTGGATGTGTGGGTGGTAGTGGTGTGTGGATGTGTGGGTGGTGGTGGTGTGTGGGTGGTGGTGTGTGGATGTGTGGGTGGTGGTGGTGTGTGGATGTGTGGGTGGTGGTGGTGGTGTGTGGATGTGTGTGGGTGGTGTGTGGATGTGTGGATGTGTGGATGTGTGTGTGGATGTGTGGGTGTTGGTGGTGTGTGGATGTGTGGGTGGTGGTGGTGTGTGGCTGTGTGTGGGTGGTGTGTGAATGTGTGTGTGGATGTGTGTGTGGGTGGTGTGTGGATATGTGTGTGGATGTGTGGGTGGTGTGTGGATGTGTGGGTGGTAGTGGTGTGTGGCTGTGTGGGTGGTGGTGTGTGGATGTGTGGGTGGTAGTGGTGTGTGGATGTGTGGGTGTTGGTGGTGTGTGGATGTGTGGGTGGATGTGTGGTGGTAGTGCTGTGGATGTGTGTGTCGGTGGATGTGTGGGTGGTGATGGTGGTGTGTGGATGTGTAGGTGGTGGTGGTGTGTGGATGTGTGGGTGGTGGTGGTGTGTGGATGTGTGGATGTTGGTGGTGTGTGGATGTGTGGGTGGTGGTGGTATGTGGATGGTGTGTGGATGTGTGTGTGTGTGGATATGTGGGTGGTGTGTGGATGTGTGTGTGGATGTGTGGGTGTTGGTGGTGTGTGGATGTGTGGGTGGTGGTGGTGTGTGGATGTGTGTGGGTGGTGTGTGGATGTGTGGATGTGTGTGTGGATGTGTGGGTGTTGGTGGTGTGTGGATGTGTGGGTGGTGGTGTGTGGATGTGTGGGTGGTGGTGGTGTGTGGATGTGTGGTGATGGTGGTGTGTGGATGTGTGTGTGAATGTGTGGGTGGTGGTGTGTAGATGTGTGTGTGGTAGTGGTGTGTGGATGTATGTGTGTAGATGTGTGGATGTGTGTGTAGATGTGTGGATGTGTGGGTGGTAGTGGTGTGTGGATGTGTGGGTGGTGGTGGTGTGTGGGTGGTGGTGTGTGGATGTGTGGGTGGTGGTGGTGTGTGGATGTGTGGGTGGTGGTGGTGGTGTGTG